AATTGGAGAGGCAGCAGCAATAATAGCAGTGGTAGCTTTCAGTACTCTTAATTATTCCCCACTAAAAGTTTCAGAATTAGTGGGGATGTATCCTTCACAGTTGCGGCTGGCCTCGAATTCTTGCATGGCTTTATTTCTGGCAAGAGATATATCTCCCGGTCCTTATAATCCAAAATTGGCCAATAACTTTCGTGGATTTTTTTCTTGGCATAAAGAATTTTTTTAGGATCCACTTACAGAGGATGATGCGAAGGTATAGGCTGCCGTTTTGGAGCAGCATGGTGCGTATTTGACCCCAAATTCCAGTTCATGGTATGATCTTGTTTCCTTTTGGAATCATCTTCCGCTTTTTCTACGTGGGTTTTGCTTAAATTGTGATTTGAAGATTAATTAGTTTGTGGCCACAGGTTAGTGATATCTTTAAGTTTGCAGGATGTGGAACACCCATTTGATGTATTTGAAAAGAATCAGAAGTACAGACAACTACTCTCTCTTGTAAGGTTGGAAAAGAAGCTTGAACAGATTCAGGCTAAACTTTTAGGGGCACCTAAATAACTTTTGTCTCCTTCCAGAGAGCAAAAACTGTGATCTTTATGGTTTGTGCAACCTTTTTGCTGTTTTGCCTCAGCTTGCATGTGCACGCATAGATAATAACCACACTTTGCTTATTATCTATTATTTGAATAACATGTTTCCTGATGTTTCTTTCAGGTTCTCAGAGAAAGAGGAATTTGGCTGCATATGATATTACAACTGATGTTCCTGATGTTTCCTGATGTTACTCAATGCATGGTTCCTACCAGTGTCTTACAACTGTTCTCCTTAAGGCCAATGTAAAGGTTAGACTTTTAATAGCCTTGTAGGAACGCTTGAATTTCTTTGCTTTCCTTGTACTATGTAAATGATTTGTAATATTGTTAAATGCCAATTTTCCATGCTCTTGCTTCCTTGGGAGCTTGGTGGTTGAGATTCTCCTTTTAATTCCTGTGGTGTCTAAGGTTCCAATCCTAATTCCGGAAATGGATGTGTCACATGGCTCAGTTTAGTTTTGATATTTGTCTACTTGTGTTGGATGGTGAAAGTTGTAATGCTCTTACTCCTCTGCTTCATTTTTTCCAGAGCACCAAAAGGTGAATCAGTTGAGTTCATAAATGCCTGCAATTTGGGTTTTTTAAATGCTCAGTCTCCCTTGTTTGTGATGGTTAAATATTTTCAGGCAATAACGGGCGGGGTCCATGTAGTTTAACTTGTGCATTTTGCTATTCTTGTTTGTATTAGTTGCATTATACATTGTCAGTTTTAGACAGTGGCTACTAATTTCAAATATAGAGCATCTGTGCTTTACCTGATCCCCAAAAGTTGTGATAATTGATTCCCTTTAAAAATATGTTTCAGACATTGAGGATGAAGGGATAATTTGGTAAGTTTTAATTTTCTGATTCAAGTTGATTAAAGCCACGATACAAGCACCATGACCTATTCAACTTGCACTCAAACCAGAGCAGTCAATTTAGTCAGTTTGTTTCTATTTCCATAACATGGTAATTAATAGAAAATAACTCATGACTGAAGCTTGATTATTACACCTGATCCTGCAGATCGAGTATGCAATGCTCTAGAAACTGTGGATTGTACTCATATTGATGAAACAAAAATTCTTACAGCATATTTTCTCTTGAATTCTCACCTGAGTTGCTCCAAGATTTCACATTTGTACTATTATAATTGCTTAAAAAAAAAAATCATACTACCAGGTGCTTCTCTTAATTGTGTAGGTTATCCTGTTACATCAATTTGTAAGCAAGTTTAAAAAGTTTTCCTTTATATCCTTATATTAGTGTTGGAGAGCAAATGAATTTGCTGAGCAGGTATAGTCTATGCTGTGCTTTGTAATTTGCACATTGACCCGTGTCTAATTTGGCCAGCGAAGCTTCAAACCGAACAAAATCTCCAGATTATGGAGTACATAATGAGATGAAAATGTAATGCATTTTCTTTCATTCTTCATATGCTCCATATTTTGTGGATATAGTGTTATCAGATTATTAGGAAGGATCTTGGTATTTCCGAGATGTAAAATTCCTTATGGACTTTTGGGAGACTTTGCTTGATTTCTATGTAAGCTCTGGCATAAGAAAGATCAGATCATCACATTCAGGTGTATGTGTTCTATTTGTTGCTATTACTTTCATTTAGCAAAGGCTGTCAGGACGGCATTACTTGTTCTTTGTGTTATTATTGTATTTGAGTTGCATTTCTTGATTAGTTTTCAAGAAATGCAGATAAATCTTTACTGACTTTTCTGATTCTTTGTACCTAATGAGTATGCTTAATTAAGTAGAGATTTTGTTTTAAATTTTTTATTGTTCATATACTTCTATCTTGGCAAAAGTGCTCTTACCGTTTTTAAACAACATTTTTTTTTCAAATATCTGAGGCTGACTATTCTTTTATTTTGTACATTTGCAGCCATGCTGTCAGTGAGTCGCAGTTTAATCAAGTAATCAACATGAGCTGGATCAAATTATCGGAGTGTTCCATTACAAATTAATAGTAGAGGTAGTCTGAGGTTTATTCATGAGAATGATAATTATTGTCTCCATTTTGTAGGCTTGCAAGTTTCTTGATGAGAAATGGTCTCCAAAAGTCGTGGTCATTGCTGCACAGAGAAATCATCATACAAAGTTCTTTCAGCCTAATGCACCAGAAAATGTTGCCCCGGGTATTGACTTGACAGACGATGCAATTAGGCTACATAAGAAAGTTATTGTTGCATTGATTGACTCGTACCAGGGAGGTGATGCAGGGCCATTGATTGACAATAAAGTTTGTCATCTCAAGAACTATGAGCTTCTACTTGTATGCTCATGCTGGCATGGTTGTGAGTACTTGAAAGTAGATGAATAGTTAAACAAGACATTTTTCTTTTCCTCATTTTCCTGTTCCTTTAGGTTCGTCTGCATAGCATCTCTGCTGATGTTTATCTGTTCTAGCATGAAAAATTGTTCTTACATTTTCGTGATCGGGTGGTTAGTGATCATTTGCTTTAAATTCAGTTAAATTGGCTTCACATTCACCTGGGTGAAAATTCATCGGATCACTTGTGTCATGATTGGTGGAAGAAATCCATCAGGTTTGTATAAGGGAATTTACTTGACGTATAAGATGATCAGGCGAAACCAGTTTGTTCATGGCTCTTACTCTGTAGAGACTTTGATTACAATAAGGTGTGGAGATGTGCTCATTTCAAGTATCTAGATTCTCTGTTGAATGATGATCAACTCTATTTGCTGCCGTCCAATCACTCTTTGTCATGTGCTTAATGAATCCTTCTAGATTATGCACATCAGATACTTCGGTATGTTATCTGTATTTTCCCTTCGACTGTGGTGCAAGCCAACTCTTTGTTGATAATCAGTTTTGTTGGGTGAGTTGAAGCTCTGCTACTGTGTATAGGATAAGTTTAGGACCACCGCGGTCCCGTAAGCTTGATCTGATTGGGTCTAAAGATATTTTGGTGTATGATGGTTTTTTTTTTTGCATTTGGCTAATTGGAGGTTAAAACTGGCCAATATGCACTAGAAGAGGATGCACAAATACTGGGATCTGGACTCATGAGGGTTTTTGACTTGCATATTGTTTGTTGATAATGTTTTTGCTAGTAGTTAAAGCTTTGTTGATCCTGATCACGTGTTATTTTACCTTTTTCTTCCCATTTTCTGATGGGAGGAAAACAGGCAAAAGGTATTCCAGTGCAGAATTTATGGCTTCTCCTGCTTGGAATTTTTATTTTCACTGTTGTCCATTGAAAAACTTGCATTCTTAGTCTGCGAAGTGTTGGCCTTTGAAGTCCAAAGTTTGCTTCATTTTGGCTATTCATAATTTTCAGTTTCTCCAATATGATATGATTCCTTCACTGCCACCGATCTGGGTCAACATCTAAAGACACATCAGAGACTTCTTCCAGCCACGCAGGGTGACCCGTGCGGGTTCTGTCCCTATTCTGCAGTTGCTGTTCCAGAAGGAAAACGCTGTGCCTGAAGTCAATTTTTTTTTTCGTTTTATTGTACTCTGCTGCAGTGCTAGCCTGTTCTGTGCCCTTAGTTGCATGGTTTCCTGACATCATTTTTACGGCAGTGACTGCTATTCTTGTTTGATATAATAGTGCAATCTTTCGATGGCCTCAAACTCTGCATCTTAATACATGCTTTGACTAAAATTCAAATTACATATCCTTTAGTTTTGCTTCCTCAAAGTTTTATGTTTTTCTATCTTAATTGAAGTTGTATGCTTAGCTATCTGCGATTTTGAAAGTCTCTAACATGCTTTGGATTAATGCAAGAGGCTGCCATTGCCCACCGTGATCTCCGTGGCCGTGGTGCAGTGGAGAGTTCTGAGGGCCTGTTTTAGGCGTGGGACGGAGGAGACCGGACCTGCTGGCATGGGCAGATTGTGGCACTTGGTATGGTGCCGCAGGACAAGTTTCATGGAGAGACAAAGGTCATGGGGTTAGAGCTGGTTCATCAAACTTGGAGACAAAGGGATTAGAGGGTATATTTGTTGGAAAATCCTATTCTTCTTAATTTTAGAGATTCTCACGTTTATATCTATCGTATCTATCATTTAGACATATTCTGATTTTCAATTGTTAGTTGCAGGCGAACTCATATTTATTTACATGGGAAGCCGGCTGGCCTTGGCAAATTGTGGATCTTGGTACGTGTGTAGGATTAGTTTTGTCAGAGATAAGGGCATGGGATGAGAACTGGTTCATCAAGACACAATAGCTTAGGCATTAATAGTCATTAGTAGTCTAAGGAACATCTTCTAAATTTGTCATTTGGATATAGGCACTAGGGATAAAATATACCTTTGGCTAGCTAAAATGACTTAATTGACGCCAAAATACATCAGAAATTTGAGTCAATGAGAGACTCTAAAACACTAGAAGCTAACAGAAAAGACTAAGAAGCTACAAGTCGAAGATAGAGCAACATTGATTAGAACAAGGTTCAAGTTGCACATAGTTTTAACTGAATTATCACCTGCAAACTAACTTTTAACATTTGACGACTACTTTTCTTGATTCCAAAACTCTAGGATTTCAAGCTTCAGAAGGCTCAGCAGCACCTGAACTGCTAGAGTCATTTTTTCCGATGAGGATAAAAACTTTAATCAAAGCTTCACTTGGATCTGCACCTTGAGCAAACTCACAAAGGAAGGAGTCCTTATGGCGCATACCATTCCTTATGAACAGAAATTTCCAGCTTCCAGCCATGATAAATCGTCCATCTTGCCACTGCTTAACTTTTGTGGTCCATTTGTTCCCAGCAGGATCAAGGATGGTCATAGTTTGTTCAGGATAAATACCACAGGCCGTGACAAATCTTTTGGAACATGCTGCAAATAGGGCCAGGAGACTGAACATGTCATTTCTTAAAGCAAAACTGGCTACCTGTGTATGAGCAGCAAATCTAAAAGAACAAGAGTTCACATAACAATGAACATGAGAGTAAAAAAGCAAATAGCTACATTAGGTTCATGAACCAAGATGGAGGAAAGTTCTTGCAGGAACAGTTCTGTAGAACAAAAAATTTCAAATTAATAGAGAAGAAAACCAGCTACTCGCTCGCGTTCTTTGAGTCTGACAAGGGCCCTGTCCAATATTATCTTTTCAGCTTGAAAGTTATGCGTTCGAGACCTATTCCACAGGTAGCATCACTGTAGAACCTTATAATTTGTATTACAACCAGCAAATAAGCACGGTATATTAAAATTTTAACACAATATTGATGGTGGATTCATGGTGGATCAAGGTTTAAACACGCAACTCAACTGTTTCAGTAGAGATGAAGAACAAAGCAATGGTCTCACCACTAGATTTGACCTCTTTTCATCAACTTTTGCCACAAAACATGGAGTTATAGGCCGATCATCTCTTGATTTAAATTCCGCATCAGCAGTGTTATCAATGAAATGGACACCTTTCCCACAGGCTTTGATTGATCTGCCAGCCTTGTTCTCAGCTAAAGCAAGAAAATCCCTCCAATTAACAAAATAAAATCACATTACCATTATTCAGAGTACGCAGGTGCAAAACTTACAGATTTCTCTTCGTTGGAGACTTCTCTTTCGTGCAGCAGAACCACGGAAGTCTCTCTTTTGTTTCTTTTTGGAAGATACCTCTTCAAACTCTTCCTGTCTACCACTGTCAGAATTGCTCTTAGTCTTCAATCCAACAGCACCTCTCCTGCTCTTATTCTCACTTTCCATTTCTTGCGGATACTCTTCTTCCTGCTGCTCTTCTGAACTGAAGTCAAAGGCATAAATTACCTCCCTCTTGTCTGCAGTTTTTCCCAGTATTTTGAAATCAAACTCCTGACCCCCATTGTATTGAAAAACTAGAAGGTCTCCAAACTCCAAGCAATTTTCTGCAAGAAACTGTGACCAGCCAGCTTGGAAAAAGAGATCATTTTCAATTTTGGCTACCTCCACAGCCCAAATTCTCTTATCATCGTAATGATTCTTGAGAAAAACCTTGTCTGGCAGTGAGCTTTTCAGAAATGATGTGAACGAGGAAGGAAGTTTCTACAACCAAAATATAAATGACGATTAAATAGTGGAATACAGGATTAAAAAAAATCCACACTTTACCCTTCATCATGTTCTACTAATTTGTCATAAGGGACGTTTCTGTTCAATCACCATCATCACCCAAAAAAAAAAAAATTCAAAGTGCAAGATTAGGGCAGGTGTTCAACTAGGTATTAACAAGTACTCGATTTTGTTTTACCAACGAAAGAATCAGTGCTCTATATACTTATACTCCTGGACATAGGTTTCATCCTGGCAGCAAAAGATATTAGATCCCATGACAGTGAAAGGGGCTCTTACAACATCAGAACATAAAAGATGCAGGAGAACAAGAAGATGGCTCGTCAAATATAGTTAAGAAAATACAAAATACAGGGCAACAAATCAGAGGGCAGTCAAATATGTATGCAAAACAGCAAAAATGTAACAAAATAAGGCACCATTTTCTTCATGATCTTCGTGGCTTAGTACATTATCAAAGTTTAGGATCTGATCTTAGCACTACATTGCAAGAAAGACTGCAAAATAAATTTTTTTTTAAAAAAAAAAAGATCATGCAGATGAAACAGAAGCATAACAAGGAGACACATTTCATACTTTAGTGATTTTTCAAACAAATAAAGCATTTGCAATGATGCATATACAGCCATTTACCAAGCTCTGCTTGCTGTCTGGAGGGAAATATGCCTTCATAAAGGCAGGGTATTGCCTGACTGCTTTCATTTCTTCCTGTCTTGGATCATACAAAACGCAGCATTCAGCTTCCTTTACCTCTTTATCAGCTTTCAGAACCAGAGCAAAAAGCTGTATGAAGAAGGTTAGACACTGGATTTTAGTCTTTAAAATTGTCTTGCATTTTCAGTCTAAGACTGAAAGTTTAAAAAAGGTAGTTAGGAGATTAAAGAAGAACAAATTGGTCTACCACATTTTGCAGGCTAAAGCAATTATTGAGCCAAAAAAGGACAAAGAGAACGTTTTGGGTACGGTGGAAAGCGAACATTTCTGCTCACTGTGGGCAGAACCAATATGAAAAGGCCAATAGCGCTTAGTGAAGCCAGGCAGAGGGAGACAGTCTAAAGATGTACTAGGAACCAGCGTTGTTAGGCTTGGACCGGGCCGTTGGTTCGACCAGTCCGACCGTGAACCGGTCTTTTTTCGAGTTGATTTATAACACAAAATCGTTTTGATCAAAAATCAGTCAAAATTGTCAAAAATTAGTTAAACCAGTGATCCACTTCGACTGGTTAATTTGGTTCTCAAACTTTTCTTTCTTCTTTTCTCTAAACATAATTTAAATTACTTAAATTGTAACACATTTATTTATTAATAGGAATAAAAAAAAGACACTCACTTAGTGTAAGTACCAAAATTACTCGCTTTCTTGAATGATCTTTAAATTAAGATATTTTCATCCCTATGATCTTATCAATTTAACATCAGTGATTCCAATTTGCATTAATTTAGTTTTTTCAAATAGTTTTGGTAAATAGACATATTTTAGCCATGAACTTATATTTTTATATATAATTATTAGGTGTATATTTGATTGCAAATCTAATTTTTTGGACCATTTTCTATGATTGGTTGAATATAACCAAGAACTTAATTTCAATATTTTCTAAAACTTATAAAAATACAAAATAATTATGACATCATGCTGATGTCAGCGAATTTTTGAGAACTGTCGAACCGATCCGACTAGTTAACCCCTGACCTAGTAGTTTAGTCGAATCACTATCTGGCACGAGTTTAATAACATTGCTAGGAACAAGTTAGGCTGGTTGTTTGTGGGAGCAAACAATAGGGGGTGGCAAACGGGTCGGGTTCGGGTTGGCGGGTCGGGTTGAGGCCTAAGTATAACAAAGAACCTGCTGACCCGAACCCGACCCACCAACCTGAAACGGGTCAAGGTACCTGACATGAACCCGAAATTTTTGAGTTGACGGGTTGGCGGGTCGACCCGAAATGATTCGAAACTTAATTTTAATTTATTAATTTATCACTGTAATTTCTAATAAAATCAATTTTTCACAAAATTAATTACATCATCAAGTAATAAAAAATTAAATAAATAATTTCAAACCAAATCTAAAATAAATTAAACACCATAAAAGTGTTTTATCCCAAACCAAATATAAAATAAATTAAAACAACATAAAAGTAAAAAATAACATAATATATTATTTGTCCAAATATAATAATTTTAACTTCACACAAGTTAAATAAATTCATTTAGGATTAAGTAATTAATGCCTTTGGAAAAAAAGAATGATTTAGTTTAGTTAGATAAAATAATTTTTATGTATATTAAATTAGTTTTAATTCGTAAACGGGTCACATCAGGTCATATCAGGTCACCATGGGTTGACCCGAAATTGACATGTTTTCTTTTCGGGTTCATCGGGTTCGACCCGATTCTGACCCGAACTCCCAAAACCTCAACCCAAACCCATTAATTTCGTGTTAGGTTCGTGTCGTGTTTTCGGGTCGTGTCAGGAATTGCCATCCCTAGCAAACAATAAGAATGCAATTCACATGCTGGGTCAACAAAAAAAATTTGATATTATAGGGGAAGTCCTTTTGCAAATTTGGTCACCATAAAATGGCTTGATAATTGGAGATACTCTGGAAACTCTGCAGATATACGAGCCCCAAAAAAAATGAAAATAAAAAAGTGAATGGCACCAAAGAAACGTGAAGAAAAAGAGGATCAGGAATTTAAAAAAAATGGTGCTATAATTTTGTACTTGAAACGAAAAAAAATAACGACTCATAAGTATTATAGAAGGATAAGCTAGTTAAGTGGAGTATAAAGATAAATGAAAGAATTAGAAATTTAGATGTGATTACATTATATGGCAATTAATGAAAGGTGTAAATGTTAGTATTGTGAACAAATATGTAATTCGAAATTGGATGAAAATTAGACTTTTGCATATCCACGTGTGAGGGTTGAAGTCCCTGCATATTGTTTAAACATAAGTAATAATATTTTATACTAATAAAAATTAAAACTTATTACATTAGTAAATAATTTTTTTTATCCAAATAAAAAGAAAAGAAAACAACCAAAGATATTTTGTGCCATGACACAAATGATGACTGTGACAAGTGTCAACTAATGAAATATTATTGGAGTTAAAAAAGATTTAGGTATTAACATAAGAATCAATTAGGCTACAATTGAAAAGTTTGCTTGAATTTTTGGAGTAAGGAGTAAGAAGGAGAAGAACAAAAATATAAAAGAAAGTTAGTGGATTCACTTGAGGATTAATATTCTATATACTGAAAATATATACACTGTCAATTTTGAATGAATGATAACAATACGAAATTTAAATTTGAAATTAACTTTTACAGATATATTATAAATCCAACAGCGACAGTATATAAATTGTCAGTATACGTAGGATTTACTCGACTTTACCCCATGAATAGTTTAGTTTCAATATGCATTTAGATTTGAATGAGTCATTCGAATCCATCAACTCAAAAACTCGATAAATAAATAAGTCTGACTAACAATGTATAAGCATAACAATTAATTCAAAATTAATTTTAACTTGACAAAAATACATGTGACATGCATTCTCAAGATCAGCATATCCACTTTCAGCAAAGAAAAAATTAAACCTTTTTTTATACTATCTATAGTAGAAAACTAATAATGATAGTGACAATGATCACAAACGTTAATTTAATTTTCATGGTTCAACAATCGATGATGATTAATTTATCAACTCAATCTAATGTATTCCTATATTGACTGTTTAGTCCTTTAGAAAATCCCACGCAGTTCGCTTACTGCTGCCTGCTGCTTGCCTTCAAGTTAGTTGGACCTTAAGGCTTGGACAATGGTCCCATACTGAGTTATTGGGATAAGCAACCGAAAAAGAAGAAGAATAAAAGATCAAGGCTAGCAATGATTTGTTTCCATTTTTCAACTAACATCGTATCATCTTGTGCAGTTCATCAAAAGTCTCAAATAGGCTTTTCTTGTCATCCGAACAAAACTTCAGGTTCAAACTCCAAAGCTCTGGTTTGCTTTCTGCAAAACGGGTTAATTGCACTTTGCACTCCTAAAATGTTCGCATTTATCATTTTGCTCCTTTAAACTATCAATTGCAGTATTATAGCACTTTTTTTTTGGGCAATACAGATCAATAACTTGAATACAAATTAAATTTAGCTTTCACTTCACTGATAAAAATAAAATGACCCTTTATTTTTTGAATCACACAAATTATGTTTAAGAATAGCAACCCGAATACAAATACATCTTGCTCTTTGAAGTTGATACATGCTTATGTTGTTTTTCAGTGAAAATATCAAATTCAGATAAAAGGACAAACAATAATCAATAATTGAGTGGTTATTCTTAAAGAGCCAATATTGGCCAATATTGTAATTTAATTGAGCGGATTGCCTTTCTACTTGTGAAATGGCTACTTAAAAGTCCAACATAATTAGGGTTCTTAAATTGCTTTAGAGGAAATTAAAATTTTAAGGTATTAATAATCTAGCGGGGAAGTGCCAATCATGAATACTTTAGAGGTGCAAATTACAATCAACACTTTAGAAAACTACTTGACATTATACCTTATTCAGTGGCATGTCAGCCCCTTAAAAGAAAAATGTTAAATTATGTGAGTGTTCCACAAGATTTTCCCTTGTTATAGATTTCTCTTCTCAGTCGACTATATATATATATATATATATATATATCACAAATTGGGTGATCATGCAATTAAAGAGATAATGTCATGTCCTATCTTGTTGGACTGCAAATAAAATGAAAAGTATTACCACCAATAATACAACAAAAATTCTTCTCTTTGGTGTCCTAAGGGCACAAAAAGGAAGCCTAATATCCTTTATCAGCAAAATTGTAAATATTCCCTATAACAGTGTTTACAGACAAAGGGTGTAATCTTAATAATTTGTACATTTTTTTTTTATGTGTTTATCTTATGTCCTAAAGGCACAAACAAAAGTGTGAACGAATGTATCGATTTTACTATTTCTTTCAATTTTGTTTAGGGCTCAAAAAGAATATGAACAAGAAGATATGATTACCATATTTTCTCTAGTTCTACTAAAAGGGTTTTTCAATTGTGTGCCTGAAGAATATGAAATGAAGCTAAAATTATTGTAGTTTATATTATTGAGATGTGGGAAACTTTAATGAAATAATAAATACTCTTCAATGATTGATATGAAGTAAACGATGGACTCTAGAGATTATTTTGAAGTAAACAATGGACTTTTAAATAATAAATCCCTTTGAACTTTAAAATTCGTTTAGTACATGAGTAGATGAACAATAATTTATCATTATTGGTTCAAAATTATAGACTATGTGTGTGTCCAACATACACACTCACACATACATGCACACAAAAAATAGGGCACCAAAATGTTTGGAATAAATCTTATATACACTGACAGTATATACACTATTACTATCAAATTCATGACATATGTATAAAAATTAAATTTCAAATTCAAATTTTGCATAATTATCATTTATCCAATGTTTGATAGTATATACGCTGTCATATAGTAAAGACTAATCCATATATTTATAGGTGAAGTGGAATTAATGTATAAGAGAATTAATAAATGAAGGTCAATGGTAGATTTAAAAGTGAAATGTGGTAAGACATCAATTTAATGTGTTGATTGTAATAAATGAAGATCAATTTTGTATAACACACTTATATCACCAAGATTTTTAAAGGGTTTAATTGAATACTTACGATTTCGAGAGAGATGCAGGATTTGATTAGGCACAATTTGGATGTATCGAGAGATAATCTAAAATACACTTGTGTGATATGTTCATAGCTTGACAGGAAAAAATAATTGGGGAATTAAGTCAAACTTTGAATTAACGCTTGAACCCTAGATTTGCTTGACTATTGTTTCCATACTTATCATTAGTTTAATCAAATTAATTGCT